TTTAATTCCCGCCCACATGTAGAAATCAGATATTCAAGTTGTTTATTAATTTGTCCACCCATGAACGAAAAACGAAAATTTAAGCTTAATTCTCGTTTTTCGTGTTTTGGAAAAAAACGAAAATACGAAAAAGGAGCCGTTTTCTAATTTTTCTACTTTCAATATTAAATCAAAAAACGAATGATCGAATGATACACGGATTCACCCTCAGTACCACGACTGAGGTGAGACCCTTGAGACCCAATATGGCTGCCCACTGCTCCGGGTGTGTGTTCACTGTGTGTGTGTTCACTACTGTGTGTGTGCACTTGGATGGGTTTAATGTAGAGCGCAAATTCCGAGTATGGGTCACCATACTTGGCCACACTTCACTGTACTTTTTAAAATTTTTATTTATTTAGTCATTTATCAGACGTTTTTATCCAAAGCGACTTACAAATGAGGACAACAGAAGCAATCAATTGAGGTATTAAAACAACTAAATACAGATCCAAAACTAAAAGCTAAAACTTTATAAATACTACTTTAAAAAAAAAAAAAAGAATGACAAATTATTCATTAAAAATGACAAATGCATACAACAAAATTTAAAATCTTAAAATTTAAATGAAAAACAAAAAATAAAGCTAAAAACAATTCAAAATGCATAGTTGCCAAGTCCGCGTATTATACGCGACTTTGGGCTTCTTTTTTTTGTAAAGTTGCGTGAAAAAATCCCAGGTCGCGGGTTGCGGTTTTTGGGCTTATTTTAAAAAATATGGTTCCTTGTTAGGGAAATCTGACAAGCAACTTTGTTTCTTTATTTATGTCCGCCGTATTCTCCAATGCATTGAATGATACTCTGTATGCTCGCAGTTAATAGCCAACCAGTGCAATAATATAAATGCTGCAGCGTAATTTGCCAAATGTTCCGCCCCCTCCTCCCCCTCATTGGAGAAAATCACGTTCAAAAAGAAGGCGCGTGACGCTGTAATCCAAGCGATGATAGATGTAGACGTAGAAGAGTGGGATGGGATGACTTTCTTTTAGCATATTATTTTATTTTTACAATGTTTTTGTAATGTATTAATTATCATGGGCTGTAATAAAAAACAAGTAGTCCTATACTAATACTAAGAGTAAATATGGTTCGAATAGCCTATATATTTTAGTAGGCTATAAATATGTGGCTATGTTACAGTTCCCCTTTGAAGCTCTTGTGTTTTTCTCCTTTTCCATCTGTCCAATCCTATTCTGCTCACAGGTGATTGGAGATGAGTTTTGTTCCCATTTTTGTTGCAGTTTGCTGATTTTTGTAAAATAGCTTCTGTTTTTGCTTTTCAGATAAAAGAGTGGTTTCAGTTTAATATGTTGCAGGCTCATTGATTAGTAATAAAAAATATTGATGACAATAAATCATTAAAAACAATTGCGCTTGTTTTTGAAGCAGCGGTTGCTTATTTGTCTTGCGAGAGTTGGCAACAGTGGTCGATGGTCTTTACACTCTTCGGTCTTCACACGAGGAGGCCCTCACGCGACCGCTGTCGCGGTAAACTAAGCTTTTTTTATACCTGTCTAACAAAATACTAAATTAATTCAGCTGGACACACTTTCCTTATTTTTTTCCACAACAAATGGCCAAGCAAGCGCAGACACTGACAAGATACGCGATACAGAACGAGACCAAACGCGATATCAGCATGTCTCCACACAGTAAACAAAACAAGCGTTTCCTAGCAAGTACAACTGCACTAAACACTAATGAGACAAGTAAATACACTTACGAGCTGCTTTTAACTTCCGCTGATAAAGACTGCTTCTCTCAAAGAGTATTTCTTTACTCTGTTTTCTGCTGGCACTTGAACACACTTTCCTTATTTTTTCCACAACAAATGGCCAAGCAAGCGCAGACACTGACAAGATACGCGATACAGAACGAGACCAAATGCGATTTCGTTGTTTCGTTTTCGCAAACATTTCGTTGCAATATTTAGGTATCGATGCTATTAAAAACTATTTACATTTACAAAGTATGTACGAGCACAAGTATGTATAGCGGTATATATAACAGATATGTAGCAAAGTGAAAATAATCCTCTGTGAAACTCACTTTAATCATGGGGGATTAGCTATTTGAAAAATACTACATTTGGGAGTGAAAATACTTCCCCCTCAGATTCCCCAAGATTATTATTTTGTGTTAGATAGTTATACAGCTTGCCCTGCCCAAAATGTATTTTATGCTCTCATTCACAGCACTACATAACTACTCCAAAAAGATGTTCACCAGTATCAGAAGGCTTAGAATTGTGATTGCACTGATGTGCTGTGATTTTGCATGTTTTATTTATAACCTGATGTGAACAAAATATCTTGTTTTAATTTGAGTAGAAAGAGATTCAATTATTCTTCAGACAGCCTGGGTGTCTGACAGGGAAACCATGACACTGGAAGCTATGAAAAAGCAAAATACAAGGTAGCTGCATGCAAAAGACTTCACATTTATATAGAATTCCTATAAACAAAATATTTTATTTTGCTTGCTTTTTTTAAAAGGCAAAAAATGGTGTGCTGCACTTGTAGTCAAGTTTTACAGCAGGCTTATATTTACAGAAGCTATCCCAAGCATAGTCAGCCCAGTCACATCTCACTTTCCTTTCTTTCAGGTCAATGTACAGCTCAGTATTAAATATTATATTGGTTTGAAATGATCACTGGGCAAAACCAGGTTAAACTAGACTTTAATAGATGGCACCTTGTCTCCATATCAATCAAAGTCCAATCACCACATGGTCCTGATTAACAGAAAGGTGTTTTTATTTAAAAATTAAAGCTTATACCAATAATACAAGCCATGATATTGTAAACTTAGTCATGTTACATTCTATTTGGATTCAACAGCAGAGGAACAATACGAAAGCAATGAGGCAAATTGAATTTGAAAACAAAACATTTCCTCTTTTTTGAGATTGAGGGGCCAGTGCCAAACATTTCAACCAAAATCACAGGATAATAAATAAGCATAAAATATTAAAACACAGATCAACACGTGGTTTCTTGAAAATAAAGTCTAGAAAATATTTTGAGTGAAATGAAGAAGCAAAAGGTCAAATACTCAGGTGGCACTGAAATATATGAGCAATTAAGACAGCCGAGGTACAAGCCTCTGCATTCACATTCATAAAATCAGTATTTCATCTTTGTGCTTGTTTTAGCTTTGTACAGTAGTGCATAAAGACATAGCTACTATGCTGGTAGTGAGTCGTTCATGATGATTAAATTAGTATCCATTTAAACATAAAACAGCACACTCTCTTTTAAATATATTAAAATCACTGATATGTGGATATAATCCAAGCTAGTTTGGCTCAGGATCTAATTTGCGTGTATAATATAATGATATACTTGTTTGCTGGTGCCTGTGTGTCTGTTACTCTTCTCTGGCAACACAGAGGGGCCCGCCAGATGGAGTGTTCTGTAGGAAGTGGGGTCCGACTGAGAGTGAGTGGGCAGTGAGCTGGAGGAGGGGTATGACTTCTCTAAACTGCTATATTGGCCCTTCTCTCAGTCTGTGAGTGTGAACTATAACATTGAATCAAATGATTCTAACATGAAGTCGTTTGGTGCATGCATCAAAATATTAAATTGGTACACCCAATGAAAACAGGATTTATTTGTATGATCACTGGTGATTAAGGCTACAAACAGCCTGCTTTACTCTCAGTCATTTTAGAATAGAATTTCCTCACGGTGGTCAAATTCCCTGACCTAAAACAGTATAGTTCTGAAAATGACAAGTTTGATGACTTTGGAAATGTTCAGCAAAGTTGTCCTGGCAGAAAACGTATAAAACCAGTCAACGGCCATCAGGGTGACTAACAGCATGTAACAGACACAGAGATTCTAGTTTTGAATACATTTAGGCGCTGTCCACAGCATTTGTGCCATTATAGTGATTACCTCAGAAAATACTTTTCTAGGTAGAAAAACTTCTGGTTATGCATTGCAGATGAGAGTGGAGTTGCTCCACGCTTACACGTAACGTGTGAAAGTGAATGCTTTTACAGGCTGCACCAATCACTGAAAGATTGTCAGTAAGCGATTCTCTCAAAACTATGATTTTTGTGTTTTTTAAAAGAAAAACACAGTGATAAGTCTAAAATATTTTCTGTGATAATTGACATAAATGCTGTAAATAGAGCTTGTATTTACATTCCTCTAAAAGAGTAAATTGATCACTGTAGATGAAAACCTGTTTTCTCACTCACTTGTACCTCACAAGATCAGTTTACATCAGTTTCCTAGTTTTAAGGGACAAGAACTGTGCCCACATATGATGTCTAAAACTGTTAGAATAAAACCAAGATTTCAGGTGGGAAAAAAGTTTAGCTGTTTGGCTGGAAGCAAGGCACAGATGTTCAACAGAGAAACTAGTTCCACAAAATGATAGAGATGGATAATAATTTACTGTACCATTTAAAAGTTTGGGGTTTGTAAGAGTTGTTTAAAGAAATTAATACTTTTATTCAGCAAGGATGCATTAAATAAACCAAAAGTGACATACAGACTTTCACAGTGTTACAAAAGATTTCTATTTTAAATAAATGATGTTCTTTTGAACTGTCTATTCATCAAAGAATCCTGAAAAAATATATCATGATTTCCACAAATATATCAAGCAGCGCAACGCTTTTCAACATTGCTAATAATAATAAATGTTACTTTAGCACCAAATCAGCATATTAGAGTGATTTCTGAAAAAAAAGCTTTACTCAGCTAAAAATGTAAACAAAAAAAAGTTAGGGTTCATACATTTATTACCTTAACTTAAAGGACAAATGACAGAATGTTACAGAAATATTGCAAGAATGAAACAATATTTAGACAATGCTAAATGATTAACAACTAAAGGTTTCATCACAAACTAATTTGTTCAGTTTATTAAAAATGAACACATAACAGCTTAAATACTTTATCAACACGCAAAATAAGATTATCATTTGATGCTAACACACACTCACCTTCAAATAATTAGCATTGATGTAGGTGCTGAGAAAATCACCTTCCTCGTTTGCTTGTAAGCAAACTCTGCTGTGTGTGTCTGCAATTGAAAGGTTAGATCTTACAAACACGAAGATATGGCAGTATCATCAGTAACAAACCTCATAAGCCATTCCCACATTTTACTATATACAGAGTATTATACACACTTGGTAGTATGGTTTTGTAGCGATTCTTCCTCACCACGCCAGGAAAATTATATTCTTTTGGGTCCACGAAGTTCATGGGTGTTTCCTGTTTCCACCAGATGCACAAGATGAGAAGTGGCATCACAATTGTTTTATAGTGTACATTGATGTTACTGTGAGTGGCACTCACATAGAACTCGGCCTGCAGTGCAGCGTCATCTAGTGCACGCTTGTGCAGCTGCTCGGGGGTGAGTAGGTTGGATGCGTTCTGCAGGTATTCCTGTGCACTCTGCTCTCTAGGGGACAGCAGCGCTCCATAGGGCTCTGTAGTACCAGGGGTGCACATGTCCAATGTCAGCGACACGTTAGAACCTCTCCTGAAAATCACAACAGAGTATGGGTGATGTCCCCAATGTAAAACTATGTGATTTCAGATGCATTTTTCAAGGGCTAAAGCCTTTTCCAGTTCTTTATTAAAACTTGTAAAATTAGTGAGAACAGGTCACATGTACTTTTCTTTTTAATAGTAGTTTTGTCATGACAACTCTCGGAGGGATTGGCATGGTAATGTACATGACAATGTTAATGTATCTGGTCTTGGCGGAAAAGTACCGAGATTTTCTACTGCCAATACATCCACAACATGCTGCTGTGAGCATGTAAGAATATTGCTGCTGCAAATATAACATACATGAAATAACCTCAAATATAGCATACATGAATCACCTCGTAGCAGATCTATACAGGTGGAGCTGGGGAAGGTGGAGGGTTCCTGAAGCAAGCTGCAAATGCTACGGCAAGCACTAGTCATATATTTGAATGTTGAGCAGCGAACTCATTGACTACTGATACAGGAGAAAACCAATCAGCTGTGCCATGTGATAATGATGTCATTAGGTCAGATTGAGTTAGACCTATCGGACTGCGCCATCTAGAGTTTCATGCCAGAACTCTGTATTTTTACGCAATTTAGAATATGACATTCTGAATAAATGAAAAGGCAATTCATCTGTAGTTAAAATATTTATTTAAAGTTAAATATTTAACAATTGCTTTTTAATGTTTAATTATGACACAAGTGGTTAGCCTATATATATGATTCTTTCCTCATTAAAATATTCAGCACACTGTTACATTAAACACTGAACTGAACTCTCAAAGCCATCATAGAATATTCTAAAAGCAAACAACAACAAATTATTTATAAGATGTAATACACATCAAATGCAAAGCATTTTCTTACCTTTCCTGCAAGCCTACAGGTTTGACAGTGAGAGTGGCAGGGTCAGCTTCGGTCTTCATGTCCATAAAGCAGTCAAACACGGGTGTCTCCGGAACAGCATCCAGCTCGTAGAAATCCTCCTGTTTAGCATCTGTCCATTCTGAATATGTAAAAGAGGGCTGCCTGCTCATGGACTGACGACGGTCGTCAGGGAAGGAAGATGGGTTGCCAGGCACCAAGGTTTTAATGCAGAACAGCGTCTGTTGTGACAGCAAGTGGGGGGGGGGG